TGTGTGTGTGTGTGAGAGAGAGAGAGAGAGAGAGAGAGAGAGAGAGGTGTGTGTGTGTGTGCGTGTGTGTGTGTGTGTGCGTGTGTGTATGAACAGCATGGCCAACATCGCGGTTCAGCGGATCAAACGGGAGTTTAAAGAGGTTCTGAAAAGCGAAGAGGTGCGTTTATTTCACACACACACATACACACACAAACACACACACGTGCATTTCACCTGACAGCTGTCAATCATCTTTCTGACGCACACACGTGCAATAATTATGTCAGATGATGGACTGGTCAGTTGTGAATCACACACACACACACACGGTTCTGCAGTGGTGACTCGTGCATTGAGAGATGCAGTTTAGTGTGTGTTTGTTGTCTGACGGCTGGGTTTGGGATGTTTGGAGATGTTTGTTCGGTCCAGGCCGAACCGTATTTACACCAGTCTGAATCCACCAAAGCTGCTCTCATCACTGTTCTGGCGGCTAAATGTGCTTATTCATCGATCCTGCAGAGCTTGTTGTGTTTCTGCACTGAACAAAAGTGTTTTCTCTGTGTGTTTATAGTGTTTTAACATAAAGGCCTGTGTGTGTGTGTGTGTGTGAGTGTGTGTGTGTGATTAGCCGCGTGCTAACTGAAGGCCAGCTAGTGCTTCATAAACACACATTTACAATATTAAACATCACATTTAATCGTTAAACAATATTTTACACACACGACAGGTAATATACGCGATCATTTCAATCATTTACTGTGTTTTTCAACTTTTATTGTTGTTTATATCAAGGCTGTGTCCTAATAGCATCGTTTAGCATCGACTGAATCACGGCGGTGATAGCGTAAATATACCATCATTATGATCAAACTAACACACGTTTTCATTACAGCTTTTGTTTGTGGGTAATTACTATAGTTGATGTTGTAAATACTGCGTATGGTGATTTACTTACGTGTTTATTGAGCGCTGTGTGAAACTTTTAACACCAGTCTGAACTTCAGCTCATATTGCTGACTGCTCTTTCGTTAAATACTTATTAGCTTATAGTCATAGCTGAACATGATATTGTCTATAATATACTGCAGTGAGCTGTCAATCTGACTTTAAGTTGTCGATACTGTCACCCTCAAATAAAGTGGGAAAAAATATCATAGTATTACCATGGTACCAAAACCATCAGGTAATACTGTTTATTATTATTCCTTTGACTTGCTCTTAAGAAAGACATTGTCATTGTTTAAACTGTGCTCATTTTATGTGTGTTTTGTTTTAATGATAAACTCAAACTGATTTAAAAGATAGAGGTAAAGTTGGTTTTATATTCGGATATTCAGACATTCTGCTTAATGATATAATTTCAGAAAAGTATTCTTTGCAAATTCCAAATTAGGAAATCATTTTAGCAGTCAGTGGCTGTCAAAGTACAACTATGTTTACAGTCAATTAGACAGTGTTGACGTTGTTTTGAAGCCATACTTACATGCTAATTCTGATTGAATATTCAAATTAGCGTGGTAAACAATACAAAGACAGTTAAATGAACAAATGTGCGAATATAAAACCAACTTTACCTCAATCTTTAAAAGTACCCTGTTCAATGTAAACACCATATTAAGTGATCTATCAGTAGCATGATTTATAGTTTACCACCATCACTGTATTCATATGACTGCAATGTGTTTAAACGAGCTGAAACTTTTAGGGTTTGTGGTTTTGGCTGTGAGGTTTAGGGTTTGCTTGGTTTTGCCTTTTATATTGTTCAGCATTGGGTTTTATCCCTTGAAAGTCATTCACAATAATCTTTTCTAGGCATTTCTGCTCTTATTTTGACAATCAGAATAAAATAATTCTGCAGAAGTGTTTTAATAAAGGCGACACAGTGGCTCAGTAGTGTCACACTGTGGCCTCACAGCAGGAAGGTCGCTGGTTTGAGTCTCGGCTGGGTCAGTTGGTGTTTCTGTGTGGAGTTTGCATGTTCTCCCCGTGTTGGTGTGGGTTTCCTCCACAGGTACAAAGACGTGGTATAGATGAGTTGAGTATGTTAAAATTGTGTATAGTGTATGTGTGTGAATCAGTGTGAATGGGTGTTTTCCAGTGATGGATTGCAGCTGTTAAGGGCATTCGCCGCGTAAAACATATGCTGGATAAGTTGGCGGTTCATTCCACTGTGGCAACATTAGATTAATAAAGGGACTAAGCTGAAAAGAAAATGAATGTATGAACGTTTAATATACAGTTTTTTTGACTCATTTTCATAACATTTTATTTTCACAGACGAGTAAAAACCAAATCAAGGTGGATTTAGTAGATGAGAATTTCACAGAACTGAGGGGGGAGATCGCAGGACCGCCAGACACACCTTATGAAGGTGAGAGAACATTAAATAATAATTCTGATCTGGGGTCTGTGTGTTCCTCACTGATCGCCGATGTGTCTGCAGTAACTCATGCTTCCTGAACTCTGCGGTTCTGCCGTTGGGTGGAGTTGACTCTGTTTTGTCTGGTGTTGTTCTGCAGGTGGCAGATATCAGCTAGAGATTAAGATCCCAGAGACGTATCCGTTTAACCCACCAAAGGTGAGCGGGTCTGCAGATCAGCCACTTCATTCGCTGCCTCATCATGGCTCGTCATCTCTGTGTGTGCTGGTGTGTTTCAGGTTCGCTTTATTACCAAGATCTGGCATCCCAACATCAGCTCAGTAACAGGAGCCATCTGTCTGGACATCCTGAAGGACCAGTGGTAAGATCTCCACTGTGTGTATGTGTGTGTGTGCGTGTCTCTGTGTGTGTATTTGTTTATGTGTGTTTGTGTCTGAGTGTGTGGTTCCCTGTTTATGTGTATGTGTTTGCTGGTTTATGTGTGTACAGGTATGCATGTGTGTGTGCGTTTTTGTTCACGTGTCTTTGTTTGTGTGTGTTTGGTAATGTCTGTGTGCGTATGTGGTGTTTGTGTCTGTATTTGTGTGTTTATGTGTTTCTGTGTGTGTGTTTGTGTCTCTGTATATGTGCATCTGTGTGTGTGTGTGTGTGTGTGTGCGAGCACACATGTTTTTATGTGTCTGTATGTTTGTCTCACTGTGTGTGTGATTTTGTCTCTGTGTTTGCTTGCATGTGTTGTGTGTATTTGTGTATGTTTGTGCATGTCTGCTTGTGTCTGTGCATGTGTGTGTTTCTGTCTGTTTATGTTTGTGTGTTTGTGTCTGTGTGCATTTGTTTATGTGTCTGTGCATGTGTGCATCTGTGTGTGCGCACATCTGTGTCTGTGTGCGCATGTGTGTTTATGTGTCTGTGTGTGTGTTTACACAAGTGTGTGTGTGTGTGTGTCTGTGTGTGTGTGTGTGTGTGTGTGTGTGTGTGTGTGTTTCAGGGCAGCAGCGATGACTCTTCGAACAGTGTTATTGTCACTCCAGGCTCTTCTGGCCGCAGCTGAGCCTGATGACCCGCAGGATGCAGTAGTTGCCAATCAGGTAGATGTGTGTGTGTGTCTGTGTGTGTGTGTAAATGTGGAAGTGATAACACTGTTGCAAAATTTAGCGGTAGTTGATTTAGGGTGCTTTCACACTAGCATCTTTGGTCTGAACCGGGTTCATTTGTCATCAGAGAACTGTATGTTCAGCTAGTGTGAACGTGTCTTCTGATCTCCCGATTCTGCCTGTAAGAAGTATTCTGGTACGGTTGGTGCAAACTCTGGTACAGTTCACTTCTGATATGAATGCAATCATACCAATAAACGGAAGTGAACCGCCAACTGTACAACAAACTTTACTTTTCATTATATTCATTCGTGTGTGTGTGTGTAACCTACCTTAGTGACAAGCGGGACTGACCCAGTGCAAACAGTGATCATGTCTGCTTGTCTCCACCAAAAGGACTTCTGCAGACATTATGTGATGCTCTGGAGGTTTTTAATGGTTTATTGTGGCAGATAGACGCGAGTCGCTCTCTGTATTTTGGTTTTGATAACAAAACCAAACGATCAAGTGAAAGCAGAATGACCATGATATGCAGACGTCTCCACTTTGGCACTTTGCTTTCATGGCTATGAAACAACATAGCAACATCTGCACACAAAACAGCAGCTCGATGACGCAAGTGTACCGAGGTTCAGGAGGAAAAAAGACAGTGTGAACACAAACCAGTCGAGGGGGGACTGTTGATCTTGGATTCAGACCAGGCATTTAGACCAAGTGTGAAAGCTCCCTTATGCTGTGTTCACACCAGACGCAGAACGTGCGGATAAATCACGCTATCCGCGCGTAAATAGCCACGTGAACATTTGAGTTTACTCGCTTCATTTGTGCGTCAAATCCGCTTCATTCGCTTGTCAAATTCACTTCAGAACAGACGCGGGTTCGCGTGATGGGCAGGGCTTCTGTCTGCCTGGTGACTGTAGCTTCGATGCTGAATGGCTAACATGGATTTTATGAAGAAAGTAACAGTGTTAATGTGCTTTATGAAGGCTGAAAAACAGATCGATACGTTTAGGGCCATGTCTGAGTCCACTGCATGCTTTCAGAGGTGCATCCAGCTGTGTGAGCTCATAAACTCCTCCAGAAACTGAACCTGGATTGCGGAGGCTTTCAGCAGTGCTTCTGACTGAGCCCAGCCAAATTTGATGACTTGTTGTCGGTGTCGCGTGGAGGATTTCCCCCGGGACACCATCAACAGGTTCTACGTCACAATCACGCCCCCACAAAAGCAAGCTTCTGATTGGAAACTCGAGAGATTCGCACGAAACGCACATTAATCGCGTCAAACGCGCATAACGCCCAACTCCCCCCGTGCCATTCGCGCGTATCGCGCAATTCGCGCTGCGCGTATCACGCCGCAGGATGTCTATTCGCGCGTTTGCATTAACTTTACATGTAAATCCCTCGCGCTTGAAGCGTGTTCCACGTCTGGTATGAACGCAGCATCAGAGTCCTAAAGAGAATCAAGGGGGTGCGGTTTATTTTTGTGCCCCTCCCATTTTTAAATCACAGCAAACTAATAGTTAGAGGGGCGTGGCTGAGCATATTTCGCCCAGTCAGTCAAAATGACATCATCAGAGAAGGACTGCACACTGCTAAAAACTTTCTCACTTGGAGTTTCTGTCTTGCTTCTAGTCCACATATCAACAAATTCATAAATTAAGAAGCATTTTCTGGACAAGCAACAAAATATAGTCTTGTCTTCAGAAGTTATGAGTCAAAATGAAGAGAGTTTCTCCTTAAAACAAAATAATAATAATAATAAAAAGTAAAATACTATGATAATGAGGAAAGAAAAATGATCTTGTTTTTGCTTTGAAATAACATTATTTGCTTCCCCATTGGTGGATTATGTTGCTTGTTTTAAGGAAAAACTCACTTCATTGTGGCATATTATTTCTGAAAACAAGACAATATATTTTGCATGTCTAGAAAATGCTTCTGATTGATATTTGGACTAGAAATTAGACAGTAAGAAATGCATTTGTTTGCAGTGTAGCTCTGCTGATATACTGAAGTCTGGCCTTTTAAGCATGATTCTGCAGGTCTTGATGTGGGCAGTGTTTGTGATGGAGTGAATATAACGCGGTGTCTGTCCTCTGTGTGTTTCCTGTCTGGCAGTATAAGCAGAACCCAGAGATGTTCAAACAGACGGCTCGACTCTGGTCACATGTTTACGCAGGAGCTCCCGTCTCCAGCCCCGAATACACACGCAAAATAGACAAACTCTGTGCCATGGGCTTCGATAAAGTGAGCAAACACACACACACACACACACACATTTACAGTACACTTCTGCACATCACATTACATGAAAGAAAGTTACCGCATGTGCTTTTTGTCTGGCATTTATGTGAAATATTCCTCTGGAAAGCACTTAGAGATGCACAGACAATCAGCACTGGCCACTTTATTAGGTACACCTGTCCAACTGCTTGTTAATGCAAATGTATAATCAGCCAATCACATGGCAGCAGCTCAATGCATCTAGGCATGCAGACATGGTCAAGACGATCTGCTGTACTCAAATGGCCTCCACAGTCACCAGAGCTCAATCCAATAGAGCAGCTTTGGGATGTGGTGGAACGGGAGATTGACATCATGGATGTGCAGCCGACAAATCTGCAGCAACTGTGTGATGCTATCATGACAATATGGAGCAAAAACTCTGAGGAATATTTCCAGTAGCTTATTGAATCTACGCCAAGGAGTATTGAAGGCAAAAGAGAGTCCAGGTACTAGTAAGGTGTACCTAATAAAGTGGCCGGTGAGTGTACATAATAAATATACACAGCACACCTAAATTAAGTCAAAACAAGCGTTTATTTTAGATGTAATTAATT